ATACGGTCTCCCACAGTATTCTTGCCGCCAAGTTAAAGAAGTATGGGCTGGATGAATGGACTGTAAGGTGGACAGAAAGCTGGCTAGATCGTCGGGCTCAGCGGGTAGTGATCAATGGCTCCATGTCTAGTTGGCAGCCGGTTTCAAGCGGAGTGCCCCAAGGGTCGGTCCTGGGGCCGGTTTTATTTAATATCTTTATTAATGATCTGGAGGATGGTGTGGACTGCACTCTCAGCAAGTTTGCAGATGACACTAAACTGGGAGGCGTGGTAGATACACTAGAGGGTAGGGATCGGATACAGAGGGACCTAGACAAATTAGAGGATTGGGCCAAAAAAAACCTGATGAGGTTCAACAAGGACAAGTGCAGAGTCCTGCACTTAGGACGGAAGAATCCCATGCACTGCTACAGACTAGGGACCGAATGGCTAGGTAGCAGTTCTGCAGAAAAGGACCTAGGGGTCACAGTGGACGAGAAGCTGGATATGAGTCAACCGTGTGCTCTTGTTGCCAAGAAGGCTAACGGCACTTTGGGCTGTATAAGTAGGGGCATTACCAGCAGATCGAGGAACGTGATCGTTCCCCTTTATTCGACATTGGTGAGGCCTCATCTGGAGTACTGTGTCCAGTTTTGGGCCCCACACTACAAGAAGGATGTGGAAAAATTGGAAAGAGTCCAGCGGAGGGCAACAAAAATGATTAGGGGTCTGGAGCACATGACTTATGAGGAGAGGCTGAGGGAACTGGGATTGTTTAGTCTCCAGAAGAGAAGAATGAGGGGGGATTTCAACTACCTGACGGGGGGTTCCAAAGAGGATGGAGCTCGGCTGTTCTCAGTGGTGGCAGATGACAGAACAAGGAGCAATGGTCTCAAGTTGCAGTGGGGGAGGTCTAGGTTGGATATTAGGAAACACTATTTCACTAGGAGGGTGGTGAAGCACTGGAATGCGTTACCTAGGGAGGTGGTGGAGTCTCCTTCCTTGGAGGTTTTTAAGGCCCGGCTTGACAAAGCCCTGGCTGGGATGATTTAGTTGGGAATTGGTCCTGCTTTGAGCAGGAGGTTGGACTAGATGACCTCCTGAGGTCCCTTCCAACCCTGATATTCTATGATTCTATGAATGTGGGCTTGGGAGAGAGCTGCAAAGAGAAGCAGGCCAGAGACTCCAGCCAAGGGGAGCAGAAGCAGCACTCAGAGAACAGGGGGTAAAATGGGGCCCAGCCAGGGCCACCCCTCCCTCCCTGCAAAGTCCTGGACCCAGAATGGTAGAGAGGAGCAGAGAAGACCCTCTCTCTGCCACGCACTCTGGGGGCACTAGGACTTGATGGTGTCTCCTCTTCCCCAGGCACCATGCTGGCAGTGGCTTGGAAGAAAGCTGCAAAGTAAGAGCCAGCCAGAGACTACAGCCAGAATGAGCAAAGCAGCCAAAGCAGGGATCTTTGGAGAACTTCCCCTAGTTTTGACTGGTCTTTCTCTGCCCTGTATTGATGGCGAGGGTTCGAGTAAACAGCCAGTCTCTTCATCCCAGCTTCACTCTTATCCTCTTCTCCCATTTGTCCCCCTCACCTCTCTTCCCTTCAGCGTCTCCTCTGTCCCTTCCCTTTAGCTTATCCCCTTCTAAGTAAACCCACCAACCTCCTCCACCAAAAAAATATGGAACTAATGTGACATTAATTTATCACTTTGTTCAATTTGCTTGTGTGTTTTGTCCCTTCCCTCACTCTGTGTATATTTAGACTGTAAACTCTTTGGGGCAGGGACTGTGTTCTGCTAGACAGCTCTCTAACACCACATTCTACAGGCCATTATCCTCTGATCCCACTGAGGATTACCTAAAGAAACTACACCATCTGCTAAAAAAACTCCCTGACAAAGCACAGGAACAAATCTGTACAGACACATGCCTAGAACCCCGACCAGGGACATTCTATTTGCTACCCAAGATCCATAAACCTGGAAATCCTGGACGCCCTATCATCTCAGGCATTGGCACCTTAACATCAGGCTTGTCTGGTTATGTGGACTCTCTCCTCAGACCCTACGCTACCAGCACTCCTAGCTATCTTCGAGACACCACTGACTTCCTGAGGAAACTACAATCCATCGGTGATCTTCCAGAAAACACCATCCTGGCCACTATGGACGTAGAAACCCTCTACACCAATATTCCACACAAAGATGGACTACAAGCTATCAGGAACAGTATCCCCGATAATGTCACAGCTAACCTGGTGGCTGAACTCTGTGACTTTGTCCTCACCCACAACTATTTCACATTTGGGGACAATATATACCTTCAAGTCAGCGGCACTGCTATGGGTACCTGCATGGCCCCACAGTATGCCAACATTTTTATGGCTGACTTAGAACAACGCTTCCTTTGCTCTCGTCCCCTAACGCCCCTACTCTACTTGGGCTACATTGATGACATCATCATCTGGACCCATGGAAAAGAAGCCCTTGAGGAATTCCACCATGATTTCAATAATTTCCATCCCACCATCCACCTCAGCCTAGATCAATCCACACAAGCGGTCCATTTCCTGGACACTACTGTGCTAATAAGCGATGGTCACATAAATACCACCCTATACCAGAAACCTACTGACCGCTACACTTACCTACATGCCTCCAGCTTCCATCCAGGACACACCACACGATCCATTGTCTACAGCCAAGCTCTAAGATATAACTGCATTTGCTCCAATCCCTCAGATAGAGACAAGCACCTACAAGATCTCTATCAAGCATTCTTAAAACTACAATACCCACCTGCTGAAGTGAAAAAACAGATTGACAGAGCCAGACGAGTACCCAGAAGTCATCTCCTACAAGACAGGCCCAACAAAGAAAATAACAGAACACCACTAGCTGTCACCTTCAGCCCCCAACTAAAACCTCTCCAGCGCATCATCAGAGATCTACAACCTATCCTGAAAGATGATCCTTTACTCTCACAGATCTTGGGAGACAGACCTGTCCTCGCTTACAGACAACCCCCCAACCTAAAGCAAATACTCACCAGCAACCACACATCACTGAACAAAAACACTGACCCAGGAACCTATCCTTGTAACAAAGCCCGATGCCAACTCTGTCCACATATCTATTCAAGTGACATCATCACAGGGCCTAATCACATCAGCCATACCATCAGGGGCTCGTTCACCTGCACATCTACCAATGTGATATATGCCATCATGTGCCAGCAATGCCCCTCTGCCATGTACATTGGCCAAACCGGACAGTCTCTACGCAAAAGAATTAATGGACACAAATCTGACATCAGGAATCATAATACTCAAAAACCAGTGGGAGAACACTTTAACCTGTCTTGCCATTCTATGACAGACCTGCAGGTGGCTATCTTAAAACAGAAAAACTTCAAAAACAGACTCCAACGAGAGACTGCTGAGCTGGAATTGATATGCAAACTAGATACGATCAACTCAGGATTAAATAAAGACTGGAAATGGCTGAGCCATTACAAACATTGAATCTATCTCCCCTTGTAAGTATTCTCACACTTCTTATCAAACTCTCTGTACTGGGCTATCTTGATTATCACTTCAAAAGTTTTTTTCTCTTACTTAATTGGCCTCTCAGAGTTGGTAAGACAACTCCCACCTGTTCATGCTCTCTGTATGTGTGTATATATATCTCCTCAATATATGTTTCACTCTATATGCATCCGAAGAAGTGGGTTGTAGCCCACGAAAGCTTATGCTCTAATAAATTTGTTAGTCTCTAAGGTGCCACAAGTACTCCTTTTCTTTTGGCGGATACAGACTAACACGGCTGCTACTCTGAAACCTGTTCTGTGTTAGTACAGTGCCTAACACAATGAGTCCCTGGTCCATGACTAGTGCTCTTAGGTACTACGGTAATATAAATAATAATGATATTATTTCAATGTTTTTAAATTCTGCTACATTTACTTGACAACAAGTTACAGAGGTAGCCTTAGGCTTGCCTTTAATCAGTCTTAAATGGTTTGGTTACATTTAACATTTCAGTTTCGCACCATTGCCATTTTATAGGTCTGAGTAAACAGGAGCAGCCAAATGGTTACCACTAAGCAAGTCACTGTTCTATACACCTAGCAGATTCATAGAGCTTAAGGCCAGAGGAAACTATTATGATCTAGTCGGACTTTCTACGTATGACAGGCCACAGAGCCGCACCAATTAACTTCTACGTTAAGCCCATAACTTTTGTTTGAGCTATACCAGATCTTTTAGAAAGATATTCACCTTTTTTTTTTTTTTAAACAGACTTCAAATGGGGAACCAACCAATATCCCCCTAGATAAGTTATTCCGATGGTTAAGTGCCCTCAAAGTTAAATAATTGCACCTTATTTCTAGTCTGAATTTGTCTAGCTTCAGTTTCCAACCCCTGGATCTCATTCTCCCTTTTTCTGCTATATTAAAGAGCCATCTACGATCAGAAATCTCATCCCCGCATAAGTACTTGTAGACCTTCATCTACTTTCTTCTTAACCTTTTCTTTGATAAACCACCTAAGTCCATATGAATCCAAGAAACATTTTCATGTGAACCAATAAGGAGGTAAATTTTTAGATGTGCAGGGGAATTTGGACACATGGCCTTGCTAACACCTCTGGAAGACATAATTGCCTACTCGAACGCTGCCTTAGGAATGTGTCATTGAATTCTTTAAGAGACAACAAGAATATCAGGGTTTATTTTGAAAAACAGCAAAAAATAATAGGGGAACCTATAACAACTTTCAAAGATTCTCCCTATTTCCCCCACAAAACTTCTATCCAGATACTCCATGAATGTTCAGTATACAATTCTGTATATGTTGAAAAATACACACGTGAAAAATAACTGGGAAACTTATAACCCGTTACATAATCAGGGGAATGATAGATCTACAAAATAATGAAAGATAATATTCAAATTCTCTAAAAAGCTTTTGGAAAGGCTACAACTTGTAATAAATCATCTCAAAAGACGCCGTCTCCGCTACTATACCTGTGCTTTCTTATGAGGTATTTGCAGTGTCTCAACAGGTATTCCTTCGAAGGCCGACAGAGCTTCAGTGACCAGAAGTCATCCAGCCTCATCTTCGGAGAGCAGGATTTGCCAGGATTTCCTCCAAACAAATAATGAACCTATGTAGGCCAGAGACAGTTTTTAAGTTGATATGTGCACATGTATTAAAACATTTACTGTACATTTGGCAAGTCACGTCTCTGAAGATGTTCTTCTACTACGTACACAGGTGGGGGGGTTTTGAAAACCTATTCCAAGTTATTACTAGGCTTGCATCACTCTGCTGAATCTGCCGATCAATAAATTGAGAAATAGTAATTCTCCTCAAGCTTTCTGTCTAGCACGATGAAAAATATAAGCCTGTGCTGTCAAAACTGTGTCTTACTTTAAGATGATATCTTGAAATGATCTCTAATATCCATAAACTACATAACTTCTTTCAAATGTTCTTTAGGTTACTGTATCTATTGAAGAGAGAAGCCCATACTAATGCAACAGCCCTTCGAAGTGAATAGGATAGTGGCTATGTGGAAGTAACAGTAGAAATTCAACCTTTTATTGTATATCGTCTCCCAACACATTTTGCTCATTAGGCTTTTCTGGCACTGCTGCTCAGAAAGACTTATGGCATAATGACCTCTCAACAGTGACAGATTGCTAATATACTCTCCACTCTTGATCTCCAAGACCCTGACTCTGAAGTAGACTTAAACAATTATCTGCCAGAGGCAGAACACCAGTGTGTGGTAGAACCAAATTAAAGCATAACTACTATAGGGCCTAGGGCTCAGGTTCCTGGAGTCACATGACAACAGAATCTCTCTTTTGGTTGCAAAGAAAGTCTTGAAAACATAACTTTGCAAACAACCTGCAACAATGGTGCTCTGAAGTACTAACTATCCTAGTCATCCTAATGAGTTAACAACTTGGAAACCCACTACTCTGGAAGTGCCATCACCACAGCAGAGGGCATTGGGGGGATCCTCACTGCTACCACTGAATCATGATTTTGATGGAGAGATGTGAGCAGCTCTCTGGGTTTGTGAGAGCAAAGTCCTCTCTTCTGAGTTAGGCCCCAACTCATCTGAAGACAAGGACCAGTGTTCTAGGGCAGTGGTTCTCAACCACGGGTCCAGGGGGGCTGTGAGCAGGTTTCAGGGGGTCCGCCAAGCAGGACCACTGTTAGACTTGTTGGGGCCTAGGGCAGAAAGCCGACCGAAGTCCCACTGCATGGGGCTGAAGCCTGGGGCCCTGAGCCCCACCACCTGGGGCTGAAGCAGAAGCCTGAGCAACTTAAGCTTTGTGGTGTCCCCTGCGGCATGGGGCCCTGGGCAATTGCCCTGCTTGCTACCCCCTCACACCAGCCCTGGCTTTTATATGCAGAAAACCAGTTATTGTGGCACAAGTGGGCCATGGAGTTTTTATAGCATGTTTGGAGGGGCCTCAAAAAAAAAAAGGTTGAGAACCCCTGTTCTAGGGAGGCCTAAGAATGCTCAAAGGATAGTGATTGTGGGCTGATCCCAGTCCAGCAGAATGCTTTTAAGGGTATGTCTACACTACAGGATTAATCCGAATTTAGATAATTCGAATTTGGGAAACAGGTTGTATAAATTCGATTGTGCGCGGCCACACTAAGCACCTTAATTCGGTTTTAAACCACATTAATTCGGTGGTGTGCGGCCACACTACCCCATTAACTTAAACACAGTAATTCGGTGGTGTGCGTCCACACTAACCCTAATTCGAATTAACAAAATCGATTTAGGCTCTACTCCGTTCGTCGAGGTGGAGTACAGAAATCGATTTAAAGGGCCCTTTAATTCGAATTAACTGGCTCTGTAGTGTGGACGGGTGAAGGGTTAATTCGGATTAAGGCAGCTAAATCCGAATTAAAGTCCTAGTGTAGACCAGGCCTAAGAGTAGACGTGTCAGGAGCTACCCACACAAACAGGGATGGGTCAACAGGGACTGTTAAGGCCCCCGACTGTCTTAATATGACCATAGTATATGGACAAGTACTCAAGTAGCCTTTGGAAGGCCAGATTTGTTTTCATTATCTTATAATACAATAGCCTGGTTGTGAGATGTTCTACATGGCGAACTCCAACAGGCTTGTTCACTTCAGCTCCTACCTTAACTGGAGGCAAAGCAAAGAGCTAATGGGATAAAGCGTCAAATTGGAAAGGATGCATCCTGAAATGAACCAGCCCCACCCATGATTTCATAAATGATTGCTATTATTGCATTGGAACAGATAAAGCACCGATAAATATTATAATCCACTGTAAAGAGAGAAGAATTAATTGCACACAGCGAAAAATGGAAGGAAAAGCCAAGACACTGAAAATTAATACATTTGAGAAAGCCCTTGTTCCCATCTCCCCCGGTTTTTGGTCAACTAGGGGTATACAAAAAGATTTATATGTATAAATAACAAGTACGGTGTACAGTTCACATTCTGCTGGTTTGCATCCGGCAGTACCATAAACTCAATGTTACAACTTTTAGTTTCTGACATCAGAAGGCTGTACAGGTAAGTCTTCCTACACACGCAAATTACTAGAAGCTGTGGCACTAATGACCAGTTAAATGATACAGCACTGGTAAATGCATTACAACATCTCTGCTCAAAGCCTCTATTTTTGCCAGCGCTAAGGGCAAGTTTTGAAAAATAAAATCCTGAAGTGCTTTCAACAACATGGCAACTAAGATGTTTCCCTCTAATTATGAGGCTGAGTCCATGACCTCTTTACAATAAGGAGATGTAAAGCACAAGGAAAGTGGAAATCAAGTAGTATTGATTTTTTCCCCTTTTACTGGATTTAAAAAAAACCCACTTATTACCTGAAAACTCATCTGTTGAATACTAAATATCCCATAGAGGGTTCTGCAATTGCAGAGACTCAACATTTTCTCCTCCTCCATATATTCATCCCCCCTACCCAAAAAAAAATTCACTATTTTAGAGTCCATAGAAGGGAGACTCCTCATTTATATCAGGGGAGTCCAGAAAGGTCATTTGAACAGAGGCTTCTAAAAATATGTATGGCTTCTCATATAGAGTGAATTCAAGATAGGAACCATGATTCAGCAACCCGGTGGCACTTAGAATTCTGCTCTCAGTCTTGTATGGTCTATAACATTTAGGATATGTCTACATTGCAATCTAGAGGTGTGATTGCAGCATGGTTAGACACATGCTAGCTTTAACCATGCTAGCATGGCTAAAAATAACTGTGTATGTAGTAGCACGGGCTTTAATGCAGACTAGCAATGCAAGTACATACCCAGGGGTCCCCAGCATGCTTGAAAGCCTGCGCTGCAGCCTGCAATGCTGCATCCACACTGCTGTTCTTATCCATGCTGCAGCTGAGTTCTGGATTGCAGTACAGACCTATCCTTAAGTGACAGCAGTTATATTACTTCACCAGTTGTCTATTCTGCACCAGTATTTTGAATGACAAGTTTCCCCTGCACAAGCAATATTTATTCTTCCTAAATTAATACAAGATTTTAAAGTTTGGAGAATTTGAATTACATGCCCAAAAACTGCCTGCGTCTCACAATGCCATTTGCTGGGAGCCCACAAGATGGGTACGTGAAACGGAAAAGATTGCAACCACCCTCATTTGTACTATGCAATTGAATATGACAGCATAAGCCAGCCAGCATGTGCTGCTCCATATGGACTGAGCAGACCAAGACAGAGTGCTGCATGCATGGACTTGGCCTCCATGGGCTTTACTTATGTTTTAAACATGAGAATGTTTGTGAACTAACCTCACTACAGAACTTTACAGGCAGCTTTTGTCCCATAGGCTGCTTTTTTGGCTGCCTCTAACTTAGCGCTATCATGCCTATTAATATTATAAAGCAGGGGTCAGCAACCTTTCAGAAGTGGTGTGCCGAGTCTTCATTTATTCACTCTGATTTAAGGTCTCGCGTGCCAGGAATACATTTTAACGTTTTTAGAAGGTATCTTTCTATAAGTCTATAATATATAACTAAACTATTGTTGTATGTAAAGTAAATAAGGTTTTTAAAATGTTTAAGAAGCTTCATTTAAAATTAAATTAAAATGCAGAGTCCCCCCGGACCAGTGGCCAGGACCCGGGCAGTGTGAGTGCCACTGAAAATCAGCTCGCATGCCGCCTTCGGCACATGTGCCATAGGTTGCCTACCCCTGTTATAAAGGGGGAAGCAGCTCAGTAACTTGTATGTTGAATTGATTCACCATCACCAGCAGATCTTCCCACCACCCATAGGGCCAAACTCAACTATTCGACGAAGCTAAGTGCATTACACCATGTCATATCATCAGCTTCTTCTTCATCACAGGCAAACACACAACCAGCTTATTTTTTAGATCTGCAGTTATGCCCACTAAATACAACTGAAATCTAGCACTCTGAAAATAGACATCCATACCTTGTGCAACTCATCATACACCAGCTGATGGGCAAACCTGGGGCAGGGCTCCTCCTCCTGAAGGCTTTTACTTGGATTATCTTTTGCTGCTTGATCGTTCTTATAGACACAAGACCTGGAACACAGGATAATATTCAAACATTCTCCCACTAGCAAATGAGAATTAGCTACAGATAAAACAAGAGGTTAGCGAAAGAGAAGGTTGCATAAAATGTGGGTGGTTGATTAAAACTCATTGTGTGCAAGGTAGGTATCTGGCTCCTAAATGGAGGGGCTGTGGGAGAAAAGGCAGGAGACAATGGCCAATCCAGGGATCAGAGGGTCTTATTTATTAGTTTCAGTTTGCCCCACCTAATCCCAAATAAATGTACCATATAGGAAATGACCTCCTTGTGAACCACAGTTTTATAACAACTGGATGGCAACCTTACTTCAAGTCTGGTGTCATATGAAACACCGTCACTTCCAAAGGGTAATATGTGATACAGCATCAGAATGTAATTATATTTGCTTTCCACAACCAACTCTCTATATAACTTTTCACGAGTGATGTACCCAAGTATTCGGATTCTAATATCTAAACTGTATTGTTAAATTTCTTCACCTAAATTTGGGTTACTGCTGATTATGTACTATATGTATTTTATGACTTTTAAAACAAACTTTGTATTTGTGGATAATCTAAGCATTATATCCAGATGTACAGCCATTTCTTAACCCATGTATTAACATTAGCTTTAATACTAAATTTAATAATTTTTTTTATTTCTACTGCAGCTACGTTTTGCCTTATGCATGGCAGCTGTTACAGTACTCAGTAGGCAAATGGTTAATTTGAAACTGCTGTAACATTTTAATTACATAGGGCAAAATTTTCAAAGTACTTAAGTGATTTAGCAGCCCATGACCCATTAATTTCAGTGGGACAAGAACTTCACCCATTAATTTTCTGGGGTGGGGTAGTGGCACCCAATTGGTATACATCACACTAAACAGAAGTAAGAGGAGAGATTTGGATCAAAGATGCTATCTGGGAAGCGACCCTGGACCATACATTTTTAAAGGTCTCGTTGGAGGCCATGCCCCACCCACCCACCCAGTAAAGCTGCAGGGAAACCAAGTTATCCAACTCAGTAGGATGAAAGCCTGAGTCAACCCTGCCTGCATCTGAACGTGTTGCAGGGGGAAGAGGCTTTTTAAGTACACTACTTTCCTACCATCCCACAAGCACACAATGGAATAACCTCCTTAATTTGTAAAAATTAGCAACAACTGCACCTTGCTTTCAGAGAAGCTTTTAATTTACTTACCAACTGTTCCTCACAATGTCATAAATCCAGAAAGAGTTCCTAACATTCTCTTCCCGTTTCTCTTTGTCTTTACTGAGCCCAGACAACACATGGATTTCATTCAGTTCTGGATCAATGGTGGCTCTCTGAGTGAAACCGGTCATAGGAACTGTTCAGTAAGAGAGAAAGTAAATGTTACATCCTAAACAGAATGACGGAAGCAGATATTGGAGAAGGGAGAATTGAAGGAATCCGATATACAATATGAAAATGAAATAACCTGCAAGCACAGAGTGTGCTTGTGAGGCATAGGGACCTCTATTTAGCTAGTTTGTTATTCCTTATTTGGCAGGGATTGGTTCTCTCTCATGTCCTGTACATTGCTGAGATATACGTGGCATTAAATAAATACTAAAGTAAATCCTTTGATTTACACCAAGAAGAACTTCTTTGCCTTTTAATTCCAAAGTAACAAGGTGCCTCATCTCTGCTAGAGGGAGAAGATTGCAAAGAACTAAGGGCAACTGCTTCATTTTGATACAATTCAATAGGGCACAATTTTTTTTTTTTTAAACCAAGACAAGGAAGGCTAGGTGGTTTTTTTTTTTTTTTGGTTAAAACACAGAGTTGCACCTGTTGAAGCTCAAGGTGTGGTTTTAAACAGTCTAATCAGTGCAAAAAGACTTTTTGGTTTAAACCAGGCTTATTTTGATTTAGTTTAAATCTATTAGCAACAAGTTTAGGCTATACTGAAATGAATGTGCCTGGACAGGGGTTTCTGCCAGTTTTACTATGAACTACGGCTGCTATCTCTCAGCAAGTGAGGTGCAAGATTCTATAACTGGATACTTTCTTGCTTTAAAGGGTTTGCGTGGGTGAATGTTCCCTTTTAGCAATGCTCTTTGTGGGAATTTTCTTGCTATTTTAAGATATATAGAAAGGTTACGCAGAAGATATGTGCAGACTCCTTTCCCCCCTCAATACTATATACACACCTGCAGATAATTTTAGAGACAACCAAAATACGTATAAAAGTCAAATCAACATTCACAGTTTGTACCTGCATAATAAAGAGATGAAACTTAATTGAGAGGTGAAGGCCATACATGGTAGAAAAAGGGCTTCGAAGATTAAATGTGTAGCAAGGATCTCAAAAGCGTGTACCAAAGAACTAAAAGGTATAGCAGTCCTTTACATTATTCACAGATTTCAAGGCCAGAGAGGACCACTGTGATTATCTAGTCTAACATCTTATATAAAACAAGCCATAGAACTCCCCCATAATAATTCCTAGAGCATAGATTTTAGGAAAACATTATGTGCTACTACATCATAATTGTGAAAATGCTAATTACATCTCCTTTGATTAATTTTCTTCTATTTAATATTACATGTTTGCCTTTTAAAACCATTTAAATCATTTTAAGATGGCACAAAGTAGAAAGACAGCTGAAAACCATACTAAGCATTCACTTCTCTTGAAAATGTGTTTTATGACTGGCTCACCATAATATAGGAGGTCTGCGGAGGAACCAAGGATATAACCCATTTTTCCTGAGTCCAGGGCCTTAACTACAAGAGCATCCTATACAGCAAATAGCACTTGTTTAATAAAGATCATCATCTGTGTTTGTGTCAATGCTTCCTAGAGGCAGGTATGTAGAAGTAGCCTCATTTTACAGAGAGTATGGCCAAGCACATAGCCACTGCCGCAGATATGTTAGTGGAAGAGACCTGGATCTCCCATAAGAGATACTTTAGTTCTACTTCCTGCTCTGGCAGCACTGATCTTGCATAATCTTTGGGTTACCTCATCTGTCAAATGGGGCCATAGGATACCTGGAGCCTTACTTAATGATAAGGGCTGTGATGCAAACAGATTAATGGTAGTCAGAAGAGGCGACACTCGAAGTCACGGTCTCATGACTCACAGACTAATAAACTTTCCCGTAAACTATAGCGGGGTAGATAATAGCAGCGGTAGACAATAGGTAGACTGCAGGCCACATCCAGACAGCCAGATGCTTTTGAATGGAGCCAGAAATCTTTTTATTTACTTATTTTTTACTTTTATTTTCTCTGGAGTCTGGACCTTGCCTATACCTTGACCAAGAAATTTGGACCATGACCAGAGGCGAAAGTAAGCCGGTACGGTACGGTACGCCATGCCGGCAAGAGCCGGTACATCATGCCGGACTGGACCGGCTTCTCTGACGGTGATTTAAAGGGCTCAGGGCTCCGGCCCCTGCGGGGAGCCCCGGGCCCTTTAAAGCGCCGCCCAAGCCCCGCTGCAGGCGCTCCGGTGGCGCTTTAAAGGGCCCGGGGCTCCTCCTGCAGCCGGGCTCAGGTGGGGATTTAAAGGGCCCAGGGCTCCTGCAACTGCAGGGAGCTCCAGGCCCTTTAAATTCCCGCCCGAGCCTGCCACCCCGGGGTAGCGGCGGCAGGGCTCCCGTGGTGATTTAAAGGGCCTGGAGTTCCGCAGCGGTCGGCGCCCCGGGACCTTTAATTTGCCCCTGAGCCCCAGGGCTCCCAGCCACCTCTACAGCTGGTAGCTCCAGGGTGATTTAAAGGCCCTGGGGCTCCCAGCCACAGCCAGACCCCCAGGGCCTTAAAATCTTGAAAGGCCCCGCCTCTTCTGGCTGAGGCCACGCCCCTTCCTATTGAGGCCACGCCTCAAGGACTCCGGCGTACCGGTAATTCCTTTAAGTTACTTTCACCCCTGACCATGACCAAAAATAATTGAATACCCCTGGACTACAGGGTACTGTGAGGAAGTTGTATTTTTTGCACTAAGAAAAATTGTGGTATAAACATCAAGGTATTCCTCTCTTTTCTACCTTCAGATTTAGAAACGTTGAAATACTGACGATTCCTGGAGGTTTCATTGTATGTAGTTCCCCGAAACAGCGTCATCAAATTAGCAGTCTGGCAGTCCTAACTGTTTGTTGTGTAATTCTTATTTCCTGTTTCCCCAGGCAACCATCCTTTCAAATGCACTCATGACCAACACGTGATCTTTGTTTATCGATTCTGTTTGTCTCATTTTTCTTTCTGGGTCAGTTTACAAAGGCTGGTGAAGGTTCTTGGCTCTCAGTCAAGGTGCTTGGCAGGAGAACTCTCAAGGCGCTTACATGTTGCAAATTCTCCCTCCAATTAACTATGAAATTGCATACACGTATATACAATCTTGTGCTTCCTTGGAAGGGAAGCCCTGTGCTAACTACCTTTTTACATTATTATTAAACAATATATAGAATTGCATTTTACAAGCCTGTTTGCAACAGATTTTAGTATTATGCTTCACTATTTTCATATGCTGGGCCAGGAAAGTAACCTACACGGATTTAAAAAAATCTGGACAGTACTCATTTCTCTACAAAAATGTAAATAAGCCATTCAGTAAGTCTCATATACAAATCTGTAGCCAGATAAAAACACAGACATATGTAATACATCTAGTTCACACTTGAACACGCACAACCCACCAGTGAAACTGCACATTTGAGCACCACTCAAAGTTCTTTCCAGGCTCCAGTTATGCTCCTCAGTGGAAAGCACAAGTCCTTGGAGATCTTTAACTAGCCTAGTCTTTCCCCGCTCCTACCCGTAGCTTTTGTCTCAATTTCCATGTCAAGTTTACGAGTGAAAGGTTGCCTCTAGCTGGCAGCAATACACATTTGAGCTGTTTCTGGTTTGTGCATCATCTTTAGTGATAAGTAGAATTTGGTCAGAAATGTCATCTATGCAAAACTACTATCTTCTGCCTTGCAACTGAGGGGAAAATTGGCCCAAAGACCCAGTACCTCACTCTCCCGTACCTGTGTTGGCTCTGTAGGACTATCCAGAGTAATGAACAGTTAAAAAAATAGTGCATATATACACACAACAGACTCTGAGGTCAGAGCTACATTATAATACAATTGAGAGGAATATGATGCATGTATTATGTTACTGTTCATATTGGAAGTATATGGACTTGTTTATAGAGAGGTAGAGTAAGTCAGTAAAATGTGATTTGTGGGGCGTTAGATATGTTAAAGAATCTCTTACTCTGACATTTCTTTGCTTTTAAGGGCTTATGTGGGTGGCTTTTCCCTTAACAGAAACCATTTATGGTTGCTTCCAATTTTTGTCTTTGTGCGAACATAAATATATTCAGAATAAAAGAGGGTGAGAAAACTGGGATCCTGGAAGAACAGAATAGTTAGTTATAGCCTCCCTCTTTAAATGCTGTTGTAAAACACCTGCATTGTTCCTTTGGCCTAGGAGTGATTCTCTGTAGTGTATGAAGGATACTATATAAAGTTAGTTTATTGTATTTATATGAAGAAGAAGAAAATTTTTGAGGAAAGGTCATCCTGTAAGAGCAAAGAAAATACAAAGCTTATTGGCAAAGGTAAAGAACAAAAGTGAGTAAGACCAGATGAGATCCACTCAAGGTGAAATTTCAGGGTTCACCTAGAATGAGAATCAAAAATAGATCAAATTCACTCAACACTTCCTCTCCCTCAAAAGTGTCAGTCAAAACCTCCTGACAAAAGGTTCAAAATGGAGGGAGTTTGGAGATGAATAGGAGATAGGCCGCTCACCACAGTATTGGTGTTTTAACATGGGGAAAGAGGTGGGACAGATAACCGCAGAACTAGAACCTCACACCTTGACCACACACACACAAGCTGTACTGCTTCAATTCACTCAGCTTAGAAACTGAAGTGGTTAAACACACAAGTTTGTGTTGAGACAAGGCCTTTTACTCAATCCTTTACAGAGGAAGAGAATGAGAAAGTAAAAATATTATTGCAACACAATGAAAAAAAAGGCTTTGGACTGAACAAGATCCTGAAAACAACAAAATTGATCAGACAGCAGTGGAACTAGGGCACACTAATTGGAAGATGCTGGGTAGAGTAATATTTCAGCCTAGAAAACATTAAAACCTTTAAGGGTGTTTACCAGATGTTTGTTTGATTCCTATCAATGAGCACAAAAACATATAAACCACCAACCTGTATGAAAAACTAACTGTTCCGATAGGAGGTTCAACAACTTCATTATCTACATCTGCAGCACACAATGTATTAAGTACTTGATGGTAATTAAACTATAATGTAGTAACCTCAGTCATTTGAGGGGTACACATGAGTAGTGAGCTTCTGAAAAGGTGTTCTT